TGGATCATTTTTAATGCAGCCACAGTGATCAGAACAACCAACACCACCGGCCATTTCTCTTTATCTAATTACTACTCCATTGGTATCTGCATGTGCGACCTTTTTTTAATGGAATACGTTATGTGTTCTTGTCAACTGGGCTTCTAGTCATGGAGACGCTACATATAACATAGCAAATGTTACCTGATCCCATGCCATCTTTCTGATCATTATATTTGACTCAATTGCTGTGTCAGTATGTCAATACAACTTATTGAGGATTTCCTTAATTTCATTGACTGCTCTACTTTACCAACCATGCTGTCCTTACCTAGCAATTGGTATTCCCTTATTATGTCCAGAATAATTGAGCCAAAGTTCTCCATCTTGTCTCTTAAGGAATATTTTGGTTGTCTTTCTTCTAACACTGAGAGGGTATTTTCAAAGATCACACATAGAAATCCAAATCGCAATTTGAATGCACCAGTTCTTTTGTATTTTTCTTTTGGCACTGTCCAGCTTTTAATTATATATATGATCATTGAAATGGCCATGGCTTTGGTCAATTGCACCTCAGTTGTCTAAGTAATCTCTTTGTTTTTTAAACCTTTAGTCTGATCTTTTGTAGCAGATTTTCCCATCCCATAATTTCTTTACTGCCGCTTCATGGGACACTGATTTTTGACACAAGTGGAATGAAACTAATGATCATGTCAACTTATTGTTCATGTGTGATCATTCTGTTGATAAAGGAGCTTGCAATTGACATTTTCCTTTGTTCATAGATAATAAAAGATCCACAATACCATGTGAAAACCTGCAAATGATATCTGAGATGAAGTGTACAGTAAAACTTGTCAAACTGATTGCATACTAATTGCGTATTTCGGCAAATATATATTTTATTTGAAAAGCATAGACAATAATTCTAGCCAATAGGTTTTCTCTTCTGAACGACCTGGGCTATCATTTTTCTAACAGCTTTGTATTCACTTGAGGCTTCTGTAAAGGAATGATGGGAAAAATGACAGTCAATAGCAATAGGAAGAAATCTACTAACTAAAATTTTCCCTTGGAATTGGTGATATCCATTTCAAAATAAAAATACGCACGAGGTGGGGGTTTCAATGGAATTGTGGGGAAAAAATCCATTAGCTTTTGATTCCAATTTTTCCCCACACTTTTTGAAGTTCCTTCATATTTGTGGGTTGTCAGATGCTGTTGCATCGTCTCCATGTAAATCATAATAGAACACCATCTGGCACTGTCTTTTGTAAACAACCAATGATTTTACAGAGATGAATTTTAGACATATGCATTATTTTTGGAACTTTAATTTTGAAATTAAAAATTGCTACGAAAATAATTCTATACAAAGAAATAATTATGGAAATAGTCACTGTGTATTTATGGAAATATTTCTTCTGTGCTTCTTTGTGTTGCTATATATTCATTAAGAGGGATTCACTATTATATTTGTGTTACTCCTGGAAAAAATATCAGAATAGCTAATTAGTCATCAAGAAATATTAGCTCAACAATATGTTCTTTAAAAGTCTCAAATCAAGAAGCTCAAATATTCGCTGAGAAACTGGTTGGATTAAAGTAACTAAATAGACATAGCAAAATAAAATGTGTAACCATAAATTATGCAATGTGCAATCGTCAAGGCCAAAGATTTATAATACAAAATAAATGACTGGAAAAACATAAAAATTTAAAATGGGCTGTGATCCTGTTTTTCCCCCATGTATCCCAGGTATTTCCATATGTGATCCCATATACTTCATCAATGTAATATAAATGTAATACTACTATACCAATGTTTGCCTTTCTGATTTTAATCATTGTAATTCAGCTACATAAGATATAACATACACTGTGAAAGTTAAGAATAAAAGTATATCTTTGACATATTCTCAAATAATTCTAAGAAAAAATACATGAGCCTATCGCTATCTATAGCTAAATATGTTTTATATAAATGAGTAAAGTGAGAGAGAATGATAAAAGAAATAATATGATATGTAAACAAGCAATGACTTTACAGAGATAGATTCTACACATATGCACTATTTTTGTGCTTTAATTTTGGATTTACAAAATGTACCAAAAATAGTCTTATACAAAATGATAATTATGGGAATATGATTCACTGTGTATTTATGGAAACATTTCTTCTGTGCTAAACATACTCATAATTTTAAGGAAAAATGCTCTGTTATCAAATTATTAGAAGTATGAGCTAAACTTCACTGAAACATTACTTTATTATTATTCTCTTTTTAGTAATAAATCATTATTAGATTTAATTTGTCCTCATTCACTTATATTTTCCTTGGCTTTCGGTAAACTTTCCAGAATGTCATTAGAGTAGAATATTTCAGTGACAATATTTTTAACGGTACAATACTCTTATAAAAGTCTTCTAAAGACTTAGTAGGGTAATCATTACATATTAGGTTGCTAACCAGAAGGTCAGAAGTTTGACACCAGCAACTGCTCTGTGGGAGAAAGATGAAGATTTCTGCTCCATATAGTTACACCCTTAGGAGCCCACAGGGCCAGTTCTACCATGTTCTGCAGGGTCACTATGGCAGTGAGCTTGGTTTAGTGTTCAAATACTATCCTTATAAAGCATTTCACTTGAAGCATTCATCTATACAGTGAATCCTCGCCACTTCGCGCTTCTACTTCCGCGGCTTCACTCTATCACGGTTTTTGCGTAACAGCGCATGCTCTGTCATTACTGCCACTGATTGGCTCATACTGTACACGCTTGATGCCATAAATAATATAATAAATAATAAATAATAATTGTAACGTCCAAAATGTTTTACTGTAGTTTCCCTTTTTCGTTTAATAAATTGGGTAATACGAGTGTAATGGTGACTAAAGGGTGTTTTTCATGTCCTCTATGCTCTAACTATGAAAATACTTGATTTACAAATAAGGAATCCTACTTTGCGGAATTTCATTTATCACGGTAGGGTCTAGAACCGATTAACCGCAATAAACGAGGGTTCACTGTACTTTGTTTTAGATTTAAGCATTCATCTATATTTCTACTGAAAATTGGTCTTGATATCTCAATAAGAAAGAGTTATGACTTTTTCTAGGATTTGTTATGACCCATTAATATTATTTGACCACATGTCCATCAAGTCATTGGCAAGTCACAGGGACCCACTATGCCACCAGGACTAGGTCTTACCACACTAGAACACTCATTTACTTAAGCTGTGGTTCAAACAAAAAGGGGTTCATAAATGGTCATAGCAGCAGCATCCGTATCGCTGAGAAATAGACTTTACCCACTTTACTATCAAATGATGAATGGAGTAACAACATATGATTTATCTACAATGGAATAGTATTTTGACATAAAACGAATGAACTACTGACACATACCATAACATGAATGAACCTTGACAACTTATACTAAAACAAACACAACAGACCATGTGTTGCTTGATTGTACTTATATTAAATATGCAGAGAGGCAGATTCATGAGTCCAGGAGAAGGCAGCAGAGATCTAGAGTGGTGGTGATGTTCTTGAACAAAGCCCAGGAGAGAGCCAGGGACTGGGGTCATTTTGTGATTTGCAGAGGGATGCTGTCTTTTTCTGTGGAGACACTAAGATCTATCTCACCTAGATTATGCTTTTGTTAATGTGATCAAGCAGGGAATTATTTTACTACTTGCTAAGCAATCCTTTCTAAGACTAACTGTGGGAAAGTCAGAATTAGAGTACTAATAGAGTGTATGAAAATATCGGGCACCACTTTCCTTACTCCTTTTACATTTACAGGAAATTTAAGGCATATCTGTTGTTTTGCAACTGGTGCTTGCTGGGGCTTGATGTCTGGGGGGAGAAAAAACAAAACATAATCTGAAAAATGTTCCTTTGAAAGCTACATTCCCTTTAACTCTGCATGGGTCCACGGGGTATTTCTTAAATCTTCAGTGCCCACAGAATGCTGGGTCATTTCATGACGCTGTAACTGACCAATTGGTTACTCGGAATGGTAACTGGGTTGAAGTAAAATAATTGCTTCTGTGTGACAGCTTAAGACTGCAGGAGGTTGTCAGAACTGAGATTATTTTTAGAGGAAATGTTTTCTTGAATATATAAAATAAATGGTAACTATAAGAGTTTGGAGGAGTGGGTTTTGCATTGAAGTTCCGATTTCTAGCTTCTGGAATCACATTAAACATTACATTCTCATGGGTTTAATAAAGAAAAATAAATAAAGAGCCCCTCAAACTCATTGCCATTGAGTCATTTCTGACTCATTGCGACCCTATAGACCAGAGTGAACTGGCCCTGTGGGTTTCCAAGACTTCACTCTTTATGGAACTTTAGAGAAAGTCTCATCTTCTCCTTCTAAGCATGTAGTGGTTTCGAATTGCTGGCTTGTGTTTAGCAACTCAACATACAATCTACTATGGTGCACCGGTTAAAAGTTGCTGTTCGGTGTCCTTGAGTAGTTTCTCATAGTCGGGACCCTCTATACAGCAGAATGGAACACCACTCAATCTTGTGCCTTCCTCATAAACGCTCTTAACTTTGAGCCCATTGCTGCAGTCACCTGTCAATCCAGCTTGTTGACATCCCACATCCACCACCCCATTCCCCCCCCCCCCCCCCCCCACTACTCTACTCTACCCAGCATGCTGACCTTCTCCAGGACTGTTCTCTCCTGACAAAATGTCCGAAGCATATAAGATCTTGCCATTCTTGCCTCTAAGAAGTACTATGGCCTTACTTCTTCCAAGATAACATCACTATCTTGGTAATATATTTTTGACATTCATAGTGAGGGAAAACATCAAGCATGGTATTAGCCTGAAACAAGGAGAACTTGACTATAACCAAAAATAGATGTGCAACTAAAAGATTTTGAGAAAATTCATATGACTAAATTACACTCAGCAAGCAATGAAATAAATTAGAAGTTGTAGCAAACGTATTTAGGGGAATTTCTTCTTTCATTTCACTCTGGCTTATCAAATCATTTACTTTTTTGAGAGAAAGACAATCTTCTTTAAGGAGTCGTTGAATGCTTGCTGCACTTGCTTGTTCCTCAGGGTGTAGATGAAGGGGTTCAATAAGGGAGCAACAGAAGTTGTGAGCACCGAAACTCCTTTATTTATGGCTACTTCTTCCTTTGCAGAAGGCTTAACGTAGATGAAGATACAGCTCCCGTAAGCTATAGAAACCACAATCATGTGAGATGAGCAGGTAGAAAAGGCCTTTTTTCTTTGTTGGGCAGAAGGAAATCTTAGAATTGTCCTGATGATGTATGTGTAGGACAGGAATACACACACGAGGGTAATAATGAGTGCAAATATAGCCACAAGTATGATTAGCTGTTCAATTAACCAAGTATCTGAGCATGAGATCTTAAGGAGGGGACCTGCATCACAGCTAAAATGATCAATAGCATTGGAATCACAGAAGTCCAGCTGGAGACCCAAGAGAAGAGGAGGTACAATGATTACCAAACCAGCTGCCCAACAGCAGAGGACTAAGATGATACACACTCTGTTGCTCATGATGGTCATGTAATGAAGGGGTTTACAGATGGCCACGTAGCGGTCATAGGACATAGCTGCCAGGAGAAAAAATTCTGTTGCTCCAAAGAGAATCACAAAAAATATTTGACTTGCACAAGCATTATATGTAACAGTATTGTCCCCAGTCGATATACTATAAAGAAATCTAGGAATACAAACCGTGGTGAATGAGACTTCTAAAAAGGAGAAATTTCTTAGAAAAAAGTACATAGGAGTCTTCAGGTGAGAGTCCACGAGAGTGAGGGTGATAATAGTCAGGTTCCCGGTGACACTCAACAGGTACGTGAGGAACAGAAACGTAAACAGCAGAGCTTTCATTTTGGGGTCATCTGTCAACCCCAGCAGGATGAATGTGGTTATAACTGTGTGATTCCTCATCATTGACAGTTGATGGCTTCCCGATCTGCATATGAAAATCAAAGAGACCTTAGGAGGAGGCATCTCGTCAAATTCTATGTAAAGAGTAGCCCTGTATATAAAAGTCAGACAAACTTGATAAATTTATCAAGTGAGGGAGGGGTGGGAGGTAAGGCATGAAGAGGAGGTGATACCAATGGCTCAAGTTGAAGGAACATATTTTGAAAATGATGGCAACATATTGACAAGTGTGCTCGATATAATTGATGGATGGATTGTTATAAGAGTTGTAAGAGCTTCCAAATAAATGGATTTATATTAACAAAAAAGTCAGACAAAGTTAAACATATTTCTTTTTCTCCCTTAACATCATGATGAATATCACCTCTATTCCAATAGTCTTCCTGAATTGTACATGTAGTCTGGGGAGCTGAGAGTTTAAAATAGTTTCATTTTATTGTAAAACAATCCAACCTTATCTATAATCATTTATTGACATTCAAAATATAGAAACATACCTTAATATTTATGACATATTACATGGATTGAAATAACCAATAGAAAAGGTGATGCCACTCCCTGGATACTAAAATTCTTTTGCATAACATGAGCCATAAATATAGCACATAAGTAGGTGATGAATAACGTGATTTATCTTCAGTTGTATATCAAAGGATTATGTGAAGGATAAGATTCTCATCTGGAAAACAAGCAAATGACAATGACAATATAAAACACTAGACCCTGAGACTTATTTCTTTATCAAGCCCTGCTTAATATCCTTTCTTCTTACCACTAGAGTACTATGGATTGCTCTATGACTAGTTTACCTCTATTCACTGCCATTGAGCTGCGTCCGACTCACAGTAACTCTAAAGGACGGGGTAGAGCTGCTTCTCATGGCTTCAGAGACTACAGAAAGCATCACATTCTCACTTGGAATAGCTTGTGGCTTTGAACCATTGACCTGTGGTTAGCAGCCCAATGCTGAGCCCATGACCTTACCAGCCTCCTTATTTTACCCGTGTGTATAAATACGTGTTCACTTATTTATGAAAAGGAATATCTGCACGTATTTTCCTGCTGTAGTTCAATTAGTTGAGTCTGCCCCCTTTCCCCCAAAAGCCCTTGAAAGTAGAACTACATTTAATATCACAAACTATATTTTTCTGGGCTGTGATTCTTTTACATTGTGTTTTAAATTCCATTGAAAACACAGGGTTTGTTTACTTCCTTATCTTACTCCTGCTCAATATCGGCTTGGATTCATTGCAGTCTTACTCTCATTTCCATCCCCATCCCCTTCTCTACAATGGCATCATTGTACTTGGCACTAAGTGCGTTTCATTTTCTTCTTGCCTGACATACCAACAGGGTTCCCTGCCATCATTCTTGTTTCCTTCTCACGTTAGATCTCTTGTTCTAAGGGACCTACACAGAGTTCTCTCTCTGTTTATCTAGTATGCTATCTGAGACTTCTCCCTGCATGGTCTGTTTTTGTACATCTTATTCTACACTATGCAAAGGTAATTTTGACAATTATTATATATTTGGGGAAATCTAGAGACCAAACATTTTTCACATAAGAACTATTAGTTAAGTGTTCATCATCAATTACATTTGCTATTATTGGTAAGCAATATCTAGTTAGCTCTAATTCATATGGCTGTGTGCACAGCAGGATAAAGCACAACCGGGTCGTTCATTAGACATTTGTAGCCCATTCATATTCTATGTTCTTAAAATCAAGTCATTGTTCCATCCCACCCTCCAAGCCTTGTTCTCTTCCAGTGTCATCTATATCTGGTTCAAGCACCATGTCTCTTACATGTCTTGCAAGACCATACACAAACAAAATGTAAAGAATCGCCCCTGCCTCAACTGTCATTACTTCCTTATCTTTATTCTTCATACACCAAGTTCTACTAACAATTAATATTATCATAATGAATTTATTCTCTATGACACCTAATAAGCATACCGAATCATTCTAGCCTCTTTGGACTGGCTGATGTTTATTAGTCTCGTGATTTGACATTTTAGGCATCAATTTTGGAGGTAGACCTTCAGTTTCTGATGCTGCATATGTGAGATTATGCTACAGAGTGCTTAAGACATCTGTTGATTATTACACTTTAGATTTCATTGCATTGCATTATAATCTACAGTCCGCTTCTCTAAACTTCTGCACAGTAAAGACTTTGTTTTACACATCCTAAGACGCCTCTTTCTGACATATATGGGGTCTTTAATAAAATGCAATCTGAAAAAAATGGAACAGAGTCAACAGACATACTTGTTTGCATGATATTGATGAGTTACAGCTAAAGTTATTTGTACAATGATATAATTAAAGGGAGGATAGAATGGATCCTCTTGGTCTCCTATTCGATTTGGGTCTTCGTACAAACACTTGCCAAAAGTATAGGCACATTTTTGACAAAAGGGCAGTTTGTCCCCATGACCCATGCTATTTTCATATAAACCCCCAACTACCCTTTACTTGTCTCCTCAAGTGGACTGGCTGTGTATGCTGATTTCATATTGAGTTAGTTAATTGTGCCAACCTGGCCGATAAACACATGTGGAGCTAATTGAAAGGCGGAGGGATAAATGGGTGGTGAGCCTCGCCTTTCTAGTTCTCAGGTCTCTTGCTTTGTGATGGTCTCACCAGGGTGCAGCTGCCTTAGCAGTTTCCTGCTTCAGCCTGCAAGATTGACTTCCTACAAGACATCCCCAAGGAGAAGCCACATGGACCTATCCCGAAGCAGCCCTGGGTGCTGGAGCAGCCGTGTGGAGACCCCTGCCACGGCTGAGATGCTTATTCGTTCACCAACTCAGCTTTCCTCCTACAATCAGCATCATTGCCTCTGTTTTGTGAGGTGGAGGACTTTGTGGACTGGTGTTGGGTTAATGGGTTAATGTTGGACTTGGGGCTTGGGCAGCATTGGGTTGGGATGTTTTCGTGATGCACACTTTCTTTACATAAAACTCTCTTCTACATGAATTGATGTGGATTTGTTTCTCTAAAGGACCTAGACTAATACACATAGTATGCTCTACTCTGACATTTTCTTTGTCTAAAGAACCTTCCTGAAGAATGAAACCCCTGGAGCCTTCTCTCTCCTCCTTTCTATTAAAGCATGTGAACTGTACTCTACGGCAGGATTTGCTACCACACAGCTATTGGGAAATGTGAGACAAACTATTTTCAGTGGGGAAAAAATGCCAAGCTCTTTCTATTATGATCCAGCCATATTCACTGGAGTTATTCATGTAGTGTTTCTTCTTCTTTCTCTCCCCTCTTCCTCTCCTTCTCCCTCTCTTCCTTCTTCACCTTCTTCCTTCTTTTTCCCATTCTATGTTTATTCCATTCTGTTTCCTCTAGAAACACACGCATTTGACTAAGTTATTTAATATGTGGAACTTTGTGAGTCAGAATATCAAGGATGCCTATCACAAACATAGATTTATCTGGCTTAGTCAAATCTAATAAAGGTTAGCCAGATGGTGGGGAATGTAATGGGTGGATAAATATTTTAACATGCATATTTATGTTTCAGGACAATATAGGCAAGTAAGAAAAGTTATTTCCCCACTCTGATATCACCGCCACTACCTTACATCAATGCTCTCCCTTAAATCATATAGCACATGTAATACATTTATATATTTACATTATAATTTCAGATAAAATTGAAAGATTTCTAAAATATTAATTAACTTATTTTCTTGTATAATGAGTCTTATATAAGAGGGGGGCTTCAAAATGTTCCTCCAAATAACATAATTCCATTGTTTGCAAACTCTCTGAAGTCCTTCCTATTCTTCAGACTCTGTAATTATGTAGAAACAACAAGTCCTCAGCCAGTACTAATGGCTTATAATGTTAGCTATGAAAATACGTTCCACCTGAAACCAGAGTCCCTAGGGTCCCTGATATTACTCCATAACTGAGAGAAATAGCTTCCCAGGAGATAACATTTACTCTGTTTGGGAATGATTTTTTTCATTTAATTTACTTTAAAATACTTCCTGGTAATTAATTACATGTAGCCTGTGGGTTTAAAAAAAGAAAGAAAGAAATCCTCCTTTTCTATGGCTATGCACCTTTGTAACATTGCTGAGGGATAATGATGAGGCCCTTCTTGGGTTTAAGGAATCATAAGAGCAATATGGAAACTTACACAGAAGACAAATGTTATGAATGAAAAATCTTAAAGGAAAGAGTACAGGCCAGGTATGGTTATGATGATGATCCTAAGGAAGTACACTAGTCAACATTGTAGAGCTACAGCTTAGTAAATACACTAACTTTATAATGAAATTGAAATTTGCCCAGAAATCCATAAATTACCTAAACTATTTTCTTTGCTAGTGTCTCACACTAATAAGCAGCTAACACAATGAGAGAAAAAGAGCTCTTTATTTTGAAACTTCATGAGGTTGCTCACCTCCATCTAATCCTATTTCTCTTACACAAATTCTATATTTCCATTGTTAGATGAAATCAATGTATTAATGGTTTCTCTCCCTGGTGGTTAAAACAATGTGTTTATACTATGTCTTATTTGTTTATTTTGGTTTTAGCTAAGAACTAATTCTCCTTCAATTACTTTAGGATCGCAAACAGTTGAATAAATAAAAAAGACTTTGATAAAACAAAGTATTAACATCCTTGCTTTCATCATTTTCAAATTTCTCCACAAATATACCTGAACAAAAAATGCCTTAGTGAAATCTTTGCTAATTCTGTACAGATCTTTGTGAGGGAAGGTACATAAATATGTACATTTCTGCTCTCTAACTTATTACATATATACATGTCTGCTCCCTAACTTATTACTCTATTTAGAGTAATTGTCTCAATTAAATATTAAGAGAACATTTTTGTTGGTCTAATAACAACCCAGGAGAGATCGAATTATTGATTCATATTTTACTTTTTCATCATAAAATAAACAACAGAAATAGTCAATGTAGAAAAGGATACTAAATTCAATCTCATTTCCTTCAAGTCAATTCTGACTCACAAAAGGCCTATAAGACAGAGTAGAACTGGATGCAAGGGTTTCCAGTGCTGAAAGCCTTTAAGGAAGCACACAGCACACCTCCCTTGGTAGAGGCTGATGAGGTCAGTCAGACTTTCAGTTAAAAGCTAAGAGCTTTAAACACTATGCCATCAATACTCCCAGAGAGGCTGAAGATCAATAACGCTCAACTTGTAAGCTATGGATCATTTTAAAGGGTATACAATATAGTAACTTAGGAGGTATATTCTTGTTCATCCCCCAAATTGCACTGCATGGGTGACTGCTTCTGGATGTATAGACATAGCTCCGACTATACACTCCATTTGTGAAAGTTCTGTTGAATAACTTTATAAATTATCTAATACATTCATATATTTAATAATTGAAACAATCGTAAGTAATCATAGTACAGAAGAAAATACCAACAGATATTTCATTCCCTTACATCTCAAAAGGAAAGTTAATTTTCCTACCTACCTTATGTTACTTACAGTTTTGGTCATTTTTCATGGTTTCCGCATGCAGCTTCTTACTGTGGTTCACTAGGGAGAGGTTCAGAAGCATGGCTGTGCATGGCTCAGCCACTGTCATCAGCGGATACTTACTCTCCAGGCGTCTCCTGGAGATGCAACGGTTCCTCTCAGTTCCCATGTTCATATCAGAATAATTCTCCTTAGATACACGGTGCTATTTAAAGCTTAGGAAACTCTTTTCTTTGCTCTGTGTCATGACAGGAAGAAAGTTCAATGGAAGGAAGAAGAAAAGAACTTTATCTGCAAATTCTGAGCTGGGAGTTCACTTTCTTGTACTAAAAAAATAACAATGTTATTTATGTTCTGCTCGGTTTTCCAGAGGCGCCCTGGGATCACCAGGGTGAATAAGGTACAGAATCCTTTGTGGCCCAGTTCAAACTTTACTAATGAGCCCGTTGGCAAAGCAGGAAAAATTGGTAGCAGCGGGGACACTGTCCTTTGAGAGAGTCGAGTGGGATGACAGCATCAGTCAGAGACTAGGTGCCTATCCTAATGGGGGGGAAGGGGGGAGGGAGAATGAAACAAACAATAGCACTAGTCTGATTCAATTTTTTACTACAGTCTTAAGAATGTTTCTAAAAGAGTATTTTGAAATTCTTGTTACTTTTAAAACCCAAATATTTTTGCTTAACCTAATATCTATCCTGTGATGAAAAATAAATCAGGTGTTGCGATGGCATTGGCTCCAAATCATTATGAACATGGCTTGTGTCTGCCTACTCTAAAGTGTAGCAGTTTGAACAGAGTCCGTTTAGTCACTGAAAGAGCGTGGCAATCTGCTCATGTATATATTACAAATGAAAAAAGCCATGGAATGGTTCTCCTCTAAAAATATGAGGTGTTGTGACTCTGATCTAATAGTGGTTAAATATCTATTAAATATTAAAACAAACATTGAGAAACAGTTACTATATATTCAGGGACTTTGTCAATTTAGACTCCATAAATCACAAGATCAATTATCTACATTTATTAAATTGGAAAGCATGCACATTTCAGACATACGGTTTATTTAGCCTACAAGAAAATGTCTTGCAAGAACTTAGTTAAAAAATTACTTTCAAAAATAATTTTTACAAGTGAGGATTATTAATCTCATTGATCCTACTTTGGCATCTCTGCCTCTGAAAATTTTGAAAGCACTGTATTAAAAATACGTATATATTTCAACTCAGCTGAGGATATTCTGAGAGTTTGTAAAGTTAGGAATTGGAGTGATGGGTAAAAGAAATGTTGCTTTTTTATCATTTAAATAAAGGGAGATAAAAATCACAGTATCTTGGACATGAGAAGACTATTTCAAAATGTAGAGAAAATCTGAAGGGTGAAATGAAAACTACTACAAGGTTTATGTTTTTGTAGAACTATATCAGAGCTCATGACTAACATGATTTTTCACGATTAAGAAAGATTTTATATACAGTCAGAAGTAGCAAAAAATGCTCCTGATACCCGATGCTTGGATAAAAGTACTCCTTTATCTATTCTTGTATTACATTGTCATGGCCTTGGTGAATTTCCTTTCTGTAGTTTCATTTTATTTTTAACTAAGGCAATATATTCATTTTTAATTTTCAGTGAAAAAATAAATGTAATTTGTATACTATGTAGTTTGTTCTATTTTAGGAATAGGCTGTTGACATGACAATAAATATTCAATTTTTTTATCTGAAGCATAGAAAAGAATCAAAACGGTGAATTTGATTGAGAAATATAACAATCGTGACTATTTAGGTTGAGTTTGGGATAAGAGTGAATCATGGTAAGTCATACTATCTAGCTTACTCCTAAACATGTTATCGTAAATCCTCACTTCCTTAGTTCCTCTGTCTTTGTTTTGTTTTGTACATCTAACCAGACCCTTGGTGGAGAAAAGGGTTAACTGTTGAATTGTACTTAGGCTTGCCATGAGTTGGAATCAGTTCGATGGAAAATTACAACATGAAGTATATTGATAGATTTACTACCTCTCATAAATATTTTTGCTTTTAGAAACTCTCTTGAACTTGAGAAATATACTTTATGTTAAGTAATCTTTATTCTCATCAGTTCTAAATGATTTTCTCATGCATTTCCAAATATATAATATTATCAGTAAATTAGAATACAAACAAACACACACAGATACACCCAAAGGCCTTAACAGGCTGACATGTTTTATTTACTTCATAGTACTTTATCAGTAAATAACATAATTAGAAAATATTGATGAGTCAATTTTGACTCATGGTGACTCCATATGTGTCACAGACAACGCAGACACAGACACATCATCTGAATGAGGGAGGCCATCAGCACACAATCAAGGTGGCAGCTGGTGATTCCAGCTGGGACATAGGGCATAGAACAAGGGAAATTGTCACAGATACATGACTGGTGGCAGCTCAATACATCACAGTTACAGATGGGACTCACAGAAGCAAGAACAGGACCATGGTTGGGGATGTACAATGTTAAACAGAAGGGCTTTGGAGCAGGGTCCCCTGACCAACACATTCAGGGAAAAACTGATAGGGCATGACACAAGACTATGGCCACCCCTCTACTGTGGGCAGCATGGTGACCTTCATCAAAGACACACCAGGGCAAACCCCAAAGCAGTCACCCTTCTTGGGTTGGCTGGAGAAGGGTGGAGGTAATCTACTTTCCACATGTACTCTGCCTGAGGCCAAGATTATCTACACTCCTGGTAAATGATCAGAAATAATTCAATGGAGGCTTAATCTATGTGGGGACTCTGCCAGTAGATTTTGGGCTGTCACTGTCATTCATTGCCTTTTGCAAACTTGGGTGCTCAGAATGTAAACTCTAATATACAACTCTACAATAATTTTTATGTAAAATTCAATGGCAATGATTGAATTTTTTCAAGTTGTACACTATCCTTTTCTCTCCATTTTCGCTATTCACTATTCTCACTATCCTTCTGTTTCCCACAATTGAATTTTTGGCTATATTAATTGGATCATGAAGTTTTGCCTTGTCAGCCTTCAATGTATAGAAAATAACTGTGTAGCCCAGGTGGGTTTTGAATTTTATATATAAAACAAAAGGGGAAATTGTGGGAAATAGAAGGATTTCTCTCAAGCTGTCTCCCCCAAATATATGCCAGACTTACCTGCTTGAGAATGATTGTACACTTGGAGGTCATCAAGAGTGGATTGGGAGTCATTCTCCCTGAGAGTTATCAACTGTCTAGACCAAGCAGACACCACTGTTTATCCTACAACAAATAGGGCCCACTCCCTTCTGATATTGTTCCCCTGAAGGAGCGCCTGAAGGCAAGCCCTGGACAACTCTAAGATGACTAAGCTTAGGCTATACTGTAATATCAAGTCCAGGGTCCACCCATCTTGCCACATGTGTTCCCCTATTCCCTCCCTTTACTATTACGTGTTCACCCCTAGGTCATCCCCCTCCTATTGCTTGGATTGCCTATGTTGCAACCCCTCCCTATGACGGAGGTTGTTATGAATTGCTGCCCCTTTCTGTGACGTGTGATTCTATAATGATGTTCCCCTAAAGTGATATCATGTGTGGTTAGCAATAAAGAGGGAGCAAGCTCCAGAGCCCGAGAGGCTCTCCCCAGCTCTGGGGCTGAAGGTTCTCCTCGATTCCCGCGGCCCAAGGCTCTCCTCAATTCCCAGGGCCCTTTCTGGCTTTCAGGCCAGGAGAAGCTCCCTGGTTCTCGGTCCCCGAGGCTGCTCCTGCTCTCATAGCCAGGTTCCCCCCCACGAGGACCACCAAGCGGGGCTGAGGTGAGCAATGCTACCATTTAATGTGCCTGACTGCATTATTGTAATATCTCTCATGCTCTTGATGACTTTAATATGATACTTATATATCTCAACCATACAATTGTGCATTACTGAACCCATGGGTAGTAGCAGTGGGTGGGAGCTGGCCCCTCACCCCCCACTCCAAATTTAATTTAATACTACAGTTTCCATTGTGTGTATATACAACATTTTGTTTATACATTCATCTGTTGATGAACATTACACTTCTTTCCACCTTTTGGCTATTGTGAAAAGTACCACAATAAACATAGGTGTACAGGTCTTTTTATTGCTGCTTTCACGTCTTATGAGTATGTAACTAGGATTAAGATTACAGAGTCATATGGTAGTTTTATATTCAGCATTCAGTACACACAAACTGTTTTCCACAGTGGCTGTGCTATCTTACATTCTCACAACCATTGAAGGAAGGATTCCATTTTCCTTACAACCTCACCAGGACTTAGTGTTTTCCTTGTGTTTGTTTGTTCACTTTCCCACGGCCTTTTAGGTTATGTCATGACAGAGTCTGTTTGCAGTCAAAGGATAATGATATTGAGTATCTTTTCATGTACTCTACATGGGGTTCAATAATGTTCCCCCAAATATGTGAACTTGGGTAGATACTCATCCTCCATTCTGTGTTCTGATAGAATGATTCTCTCTGCTGTAGCTTCTATGATGTTAATGATGCAGGACTAATGGTAGTTATGCTAATGAAGCAGGATACACCAGTTGCAAACAAATTGAGAATACATAGTTCTCTTCAAATGATTATTGGCTAAAGACTTCATGTGAAATTATATACTTAGACAAGTAATGTGTGTAAGATACATGAAGAAATAAGTTTGATATTTCACCTCTTCTCCCACAAAACTGAAAATCCTCATATAAACACCTTGATATTCCATTTAAAAAGATCAAACAAAGTATTTTCTTTTGTGCTTCCCCAACGTTTAACCAAACAGGGAATCCTGGAATGGTCTGTCATCTTAGATCAGTACTGTGCTGCTTTTAATTGGAAATATATCCAAGGCTATTTATTAA